TAAAACAGACATTTAACTGTATACACCTAAAAGTAAAATTCATATCGGTCGTTAACTACCTGTTAGCATCCCATTTTAGAACAGGTAAAATATCAGGAAAAAACACAGCATTTAATGGTGGCAGTTAAATGCCAGTTTTTAACCATCTGTCAACAAGCTATTTTATCAATTAGGTCCAGTTCTGGGTTTGTAATGTTCTTTTCCTCTTTAATTCAAGACCTCTCCTCTTTCTCCTCTTTTCTGGGATTTTTTAGCAAATATCAGAATTCACGCTATTTTTAAATCTGAAAGTAGTTTCAAATATATTTTTTTATCAATACCGCCGTATGAAATAAAATTCAATCACTCGTGGTTACAGAAAACAGTAGATGAAGACCCTGTGGAACGACGGTTAAAGCAAAGTGCTAAGGAATCAACATTCGCATGTACATTGTGTAAAACATGCGAATTAGATTGTGAGAACAAAGGATGACGGTCGATAGTATAGCATATGAAGAAAGTTTGAGTTGAAAGAAAATATCACATTCGTTTCTCCAACATCTTCGTCTCATACAGCCACAACTTTATCACAAAGTTGAACAGTCAAATAAAAAACAGAAATTATTTTAACAACAATCAAAAAATGAACGATAAGAAGAACGTTCAATAGAAAGAATTTGTTCTTAGGTTAGTTTAACAGTTAGTGATGCTACTTGAACAGGCAGATATGTTTCTGTGTTACACTACTCCGTTTTATTTTGTGAATAACTCCTTTTTGTTGTGTTTTTCTTAGTTTTTTACTCGTGAAACACGGAAAAAACTACTTTAAGTAGGATGAAATCTTTTCTTTGAGAGCCTTAAGCCACTTTGACAGGTACATAACATTGTCAGTACCGTTTTTTGACCAAAAAAATGCCTCCTCTTTTTTACCCAACGCTCCTTTTAAAAAATGTTAACGTTCCTCTTTCTCCTAAAAGAACCGTTACGAAGCCAGGTCCAATTTCCTTAATAGCATACTCGACTATCCCTGAATCATCAATATTGATTCATAAATTTAGATTTATACTTCTGTTTGATATTCTTATCATGTTGCCTTAAAAAGTTATGTCTTAAAAGTTTGTTTTACTCAACGAGATAGAAAAGCATCTGTAGACTATGAAAAGTTTAACACTTCTCTGATTACACAATAATTAAAGATAACATCTTAATTAAACTGTCAAAAATCAGATAAAAAATGTACTCGACTGCAAAATTCATTAAGTTGCTACAAGTCACTGAAAGAATGCGTTTTTATTCCATTTTTACTTTATGTTATAGAGAACAAGCTTCTCTATAACTTTTCTATTTTGTTTTGTGGTGAAATCGGTTTCTTTAAAGCAGTGGTATCCAAGCTCTGATTTTTTCGTATAAATCACACAAACTGATCATAATTACCCTGAATGACCTTTTTAAAACAATACAAATTTTTGTAATTGCTAATTAATTCATTAACGGTAGGTCTGAATGACGTGTAATCCATACACGTGAAAGATTTTGAAATTATCTACAAGAAGTTTTTTGCAGGTCAAAACTGAGCAAATATGTCAGAAATACGAAGAAATTTTGATGACCTGACCACAACTGCCCCATCGGCTCGAACACTTTTCTCACTAGAGTATTGTCTACACCTTGACGCTAAAAAGATTCTGTCCCTTAATCAGTCCTAATAAACGATTTTTTAGAGGGTGTTCATTTCTTATATCTATCATTGTTAATCTTAAATGAGAACGTAATTTTCCATTGTGTACACATATTCGAATACGTTCAACAACGCAAAAAAAGTTAAGATTTATTCCATCTCTGCCAGACTAATAATAATTGTATAGTTTCAACCATATTTTATTTTGTGTAAAGCTAAACCTTCTCGTAGCTCATGACTAAATGTCTCAGCCTTTCAATGAATAATATAGATAGATTAACACTATTTGCTTTTCTTTTATGATCTTAGAAACTTATTAAAGTATAATTGAGAGCAAACGTAAACGAGAGATAGAAAGAATGCAAGAATGATTTTAAATAGTTTATCTTGATAGCAAGACGGACTTCTGAAGACAATCCATTAAGATTATCATGTTAATATATCAGAAATTTCTATTGTCATATCTCTTAATGTTGTATAACGTTAATTTGTTAAAAAATAAATATTATATTTATGTTTTGAATATTTTAACTTGTCAGAAATAATAATAAATACAATTTACGTTATATCATATTCAATTTCGTGCATCATACGATCAAATTTAAATTGAAATCTCTTTCAAAATTGACTAGCCTTCATCATCATCACATTTCGTGACAAAGAAGTGCGTTAACAATGACACAATATAATCGTCAAATTTATTTTATTCTTATGTACCATATGGCTTTACCCATATGTGTATAAAGATAAAGACACAGACCTAGAAACACATTTATTGTTCTTCACAATAATAATAAAGAAAGAAAAAAAGAACAGCAGCGGACGGACGCTACGAAAATTTTTTATTTTGTCTTCTTATAGTCAATCTCTTTTATAGTGGAAAAAAATTGCAGATGTGATATTAAACTACAAGTACATTATCTACAGCACAAAAGGTATGTTAACCTACAATGTTTGAGGTATTGAATAGAATAATATATTTTTGTCTAAAAATAACTCTATACTATGTATATAATCTGCGACAGTCATAGAAAAACATTTTTAAATCAGGTGATAAGCGTGTCTGATCGATAGTTCATTTACATATTTTCAATTTATCATCTAATTCTAAAACTTTTCGAGATTTGATGTTATACGCTATTAATAATAGATATAGATATCTTGATTAATCACACAAAAAGTAGCACTGTTAACTTCATTGAAATATGAATAATATGCTTTTCTTTTAGATGTCTACTAATAACAGTCTACCTCAACACGAAGATGTTTATGATCATTATCTATTTGAAAATGAAAAGCATTTTCAGGCAGGTAATGGAGGGAAACAACGTACAAAAGTTGAAGTTGCATTAAACTCAAATCGACAAGAGTCCAATGGACAAAACAGAAAAATCGTGACATTAATGGCGAACACGGAAAAAAATCGTAATAGTAGTAAATGATTATTTTCAAGTTAACTTTCGAGACATTTTGTACAGACATACTATTTGACTTTTGATTCTAATGGATATTGATTGCGATAGTCTTGCGACTTCTCATTTGTCAGTACTTTGAACTTTTTTTTACCAGGTTATTATGTTAATTTTTTGAAGTTATTGGAATAAAATTCTGTCTTTATCAACAAGTTGCTTTTGACGATCTGACGTTTTTTAGTATATCATTCAAGCTAATAAGAGAGATTGGTAAAATTCCTTATTGAAGATCATGATAGATCCGATATTTTCCTACATGCTAATGCAAAAATCGTGTGGAAATGTATAGTATTTTTTCAGCAAGATTTAGAACACGGAAAAACCCACTCATGAGTCTGTTTTTACATTAACTCATATAAATTACAGAAAGACAACCGCGAGTACAATCGATTCTGTCTTAATGGGTTTAACCGATAATGAAATGAATACTATACGATGGAGACAGGGAGATCCCAGCTACAAAATGAGGCATTTTGAACTAATTATCTCTCAGCCTTAAATAACGAGGTATTGTACATTACATTATAACCACAAGTATTTGAACGGCCTATCTCTATTTACACCAAACGTACAAGTGAAGTGTCTCTATTTGCCCCAGTTGGGATAAAAAGCGACACACGAATGAGTCTTTCCGCGTTTTAGATCTTGCTGAAAAAACTACCAGACATTTCCACATGATTTTTGGATTAGCATGCAGGAAAACGGCGGATCGCATCATCATGTTCAATAGCGAGTTTCCGATCAAAAACGATTGAGAAATAACAAAAAATGAGGGAAGTTCCAAATAGTGTTGCTATCTATCCCGAAGTATTCTAATAAAATATATGTATCTGTTCAATATTGAACTGACCTGTAGTAAGGAATAAAATTTTTTGATGCGAATAGTTTTTCTACTAAATTTATTAAAAAAATAACAGGCGAAGCAATTAACTTACAAAACTCGATTGAACAAAATCGAGCACTCACATTTTTTTACTACAAACGTTATCGAAACGATTCTAAAAATACAAAACGACCTGATTAGACCTAGAAGAACCAAGTCAAAAAGGTTTTTAATCAATGAACCATCACAGGATTACATATTCGATAACCAGTTCACCAATAAAATTTTAGACGTCGCTAACTTCTATTTGTATAGACATCAAATGATCAAACTTAGTTGTTTTGAGCTTCAAAAATCGTTAGTAATATGATACGGTAACTGTTTTCTTTAATTTTGAAAATGTTTAACCTACACATACAGACATAGGCGATACTGCCATAACTACGGCAGACAAAATGGCTATTGTGGCAGTTACACATGTAACAATTAATCGTTAGATTATTTACAAAATCAGATTTAAAACACACTAATAAATGGGATTAAAATCAAAACAAATCTCTATTATGTAAGAATGAAATACAATGTGAAATCTTTTTGGTAATTCAATAGTTTAATAGACGAAACGTAAACTTTAGCAAAAGAAAAGATCCATAGTGATCTCACTTTACACTGAGGAAAGATAATTAGTGGAAATCTAGTTCATATAGAAGATAATTTCATATCCAGCTGGCTTTTCTCAGGTAGCTGGTAACCATCTACTTTATATGCCTCTTCAAGTATACTCTTTGGTCGTAGATAATAACTAAACATGTCTCAAGCAGCTGTTTTAACAATAAAACAAGTGATTGGTATTCGAAGTAGTGTGTCAAATTGTGTAGCATTCCAAGATGAACAAACTCTTGTTTATCCAGCTGGGGGTAATATTGTGTTGTATGGTATTGATCAAAAAGCTCAAAAAGTAATTCCATGTACACCAAACGCGCAAGGTAAAATGCTCTTTGAGCAGCGTTACTTAGTATATTCACTGCAACGCACTACCTTTCTCCTTTTAACAGCTTTAACAACAATCGCTGTTAGTCCCAATCGTCGCGCAATTGCAATTGCTGAAAGAATTAATGATCAGCCACAAGTGACTGTTTACGATTTGCAATCGGGAAAAAAGCGTAAAACATTGCATACGGAAGTTATTAAATCCAATGAAATTGTATCATTACTGTTCTCAGCTGATTCCAAATATCTTTTAACACAGGGTAAAACAATTACACAGACAAGTATTTTATGTCTTTTCATCTTCTTTCTCTCTCAGGAGGGGGGCCCGATTATACGCTTGTTTATTGGACATGGGAGAAATCCAAGATTATGGCAAGCACAGAAGTTCGTACAGCTGCACAATCTAATACAACTGTTACACAAGTAAAATGCCATACCATAATTAGAGTTTTGGAATAATTGCTGATTCATAAATTTTATAGGTGTCATTTAATCCACAAGATAATACACAAATTTGTGCTGTTGGTCACGGTTTATTTAAAATGTTTCGTTATGCTGAGTCAGCATTGAAACCGTCTCAAAGTTTAAAACAAGAACATTACAATTTTACATCTCACTGTTGGGTATCAGATGATCGAATAGTAGCCGGTACTGATTCAGGAAAATTATTTGTGATACAAAACGGTGAAATATTACACGAAATCAAATTAGATCTAAAATCAGACTTAAGGTAAATATGCTAAAATTGTTATACATACTGGTATTATTATCATTTTTGTGTTTTAGATCCGTTACAAGTCAATATTTAACATCAGAAGAACGATCAAACGATAGTATGGGTGAGAATACGAGACAAGAAGTTAAATGTATTCTACCATTCTCACGTGGGTTCATTGTGGCTGCTGGCATCAACAAAGTGTATATATTCGATCGATTCGATGATAATAAAGAATATTTTCGACAAAATCGTGAAATTCTGCTACCAGATGATCCAGCGGATAAATCACACAATCAACAGGTTGTATCAATGTGTTTGAGTCCATCGGAAGAAACGTTGGTAGTTGTAACCGATCATCAACAGATTTATCAGTTATCATTTTCTAGCATTGATTTAACAAAGGCAAGAAGAATTGTTAGACACCTCTTTACTCTTAAAAATATTATTGTCACAATAGTCTTTTATCATTTATTTTTCTCTTTTATAGGAAATTGCTACTTTTAGTTATCTCACAGAAGGTTATCATCATGCTCAAGTAACAGGCGTAGATGTTTGTGTTCGGAAGCAATTAATTGCCACATGTGGTATTGATAAAAGTGTACGAATTTGGAATTATGAAACTGGGTAGGTATGAAAGAAAAAAAGTTAGAATTATGTAGTACTCCTTATTTTCTTGTTTTTCGTTAAAGAACATTGGAAGTTGGGAAAGAATTTCAAGAAGAAGCTTATACAGTGTCACTGCATCCATCAGGACTATTTGTACTCGTTGGTTTCAGCGATAAATTAAAATTATTTACGATATTAATTGACGATTTACGTCCATTTAAAGAATTTCCAATTCGTGGCTGTCGTGACGCTCTATTTTCTAATGGCGGTATGATTATTATTTAAATATGGTTTACAATGAGAGACTCACAATTGTTGTCTATTAAGGTCATGTATTTGCTGCTGTTCATGGAAATGTGATTCAAATTTATTCAACAGTGACATTCGAGAATATAACAAATTTGAAAGGTCACAATGGAAAAGTAAGTGACATCGTCGTTTTCAGATGAAAGTTAATAATATCAAATCTAAGATCATATTAATAGGTTCGTCAATTAGTATGGTCACCAGATGATACTCGTTTATTTTCTTGCGGAATGGATGGTGCAATCTATGAATGGGAATTGGCAACATCTAAACGTCTGCATGAAGCAGTTTTAAAAGCTTGTGGTTATACAGGTCTTAGTTTGAGTGCCGATGCTAAAACAGTTTATGCTGTTGGAACTGATAGAAAAATAAAAGAAATTTTAGATGCACAGGTATTTTTATCTCTACAAAATGTCAGGAGTTAATTAATATGTTTAATTATGAAAAAAATTTTCATTTTATAGCAAATACTTCGTGAAATTCCTTTGACACCAGAGGATATGCAGCCAACATCAATTGCACTAAGTCATACAGGAAAATCCTTAATTGTCGGTACATCGAAAGGAACAGTGCGATCTTATAAATTTCCGTTAACAAAAGCTGACGAATTTACAGAATACCTTGGTCATGTAGGAATGATAAATAGAGTAAGTGAAATAGAACTTGACTGTCTCTCTTAATCAAATTGTTTTCCTTCTTTTCCTCGTTTTTTTTTAGTTACGCATAACATTTCAAGATGAATATATAGTTTCGATTGGTGATGATGGTTTAGTCATTTTATGGAAATTACAAGAACAGGGTGTATCAAAAAAAGATAAAGAGACGACGTTTGCTGAAGAAATTTTAATTACTAAGACTGATTTAGAGGAGAAAAATGCTTTAATACTCGATTTGAATCAACGTGTTACCGAATTACGAGAAGAAAATGAGTATCAATTAAAATTAAAAGAAATGAATTATGCTGAACGTATACGTGAGTTAACCGATAAATTTATGCAAGAAATGGAAAATTTAAAAACAAAAAATACAGTGGTTACTGGTGAAAAAGAAAAAGAAGCGAATAAACATGCTGAACAAGTTCATGATCTTCTTGAAAAACAAAACAAAGAATTACAAGATCTAGGTAATTACATATTTTTATAGAACAAAGTTCATTTAATAAACAACTAAATTGTATTCGACTTTAGTTGAGTATAAAATATTTATGTAAGTTTTGCTTATCATCCATTTGCTTCCTCAATACTTATAATTTTGCAATATATAGTTTCTATTGTTACATGTATTTTTTCTTAGAAAGTTCAAATAATCAAAAACTAATGTTAGAATATGAAAAATATCAAGAATTACAGGCTAAAACCCAAAAAACTCAAGAAGAATATGAAAAACAAATAATGGAATTAGAAAATCGAAAAGAAGAAGAGGTAACGCGTCAACGAATGCAATATACGACACAATTAGAAAAATTAAAAAATGATTTAATATTGGTAAGAATTATATTTCATTATAAATACTGTAGATTTCTATTTCATTTTTTTATTGTTTTGTATTTAGGAACGTGAAAAAACTAAACAACAATCTCGTGATCATGAAGAGACAAAACGACAAATTGAAGAAGATGCGGATGAAGAAATACTTAAAATGATGCAAGGAAATGAACAAACATTAATCGAATGTAAAGAAGAAAATATTAGTCTAAAAAATAAAAGTACAACATTTCAACGAAAAGTAAGTATAAATTTCTTATTTAAAATTTTTTAATATTTAACAATCAATTTTTGTTAATATTAATTAAATAATAGGTTAAAGATTTGGAAGAATCAATTAAAAAGAAAGAGGTTGATTTAGTAAGTTTAAAAAATGAAGAAAATAAATTACAACAAGCAATTCGTGGATTAAAAAAAGATATTGAAGGTTTAAAAAAAGAAATACAAGAACGTGATGAAACAATACAAGACAAAGTAAAATTGTAATTATATATATTCTTAAATTATTTAGCTAAGATCTTATATATATATATCTAGGAAAAACGTATATATGAATTGAAACGAAAGAATCAAGAGTTAGAAAAATTTAAATTTGTACTCGACTATAAAATAAAAGATTTAAAAAAACAAATAGAACCACGTGAACTTGAAATTAAAGATATGAAAGAACAAATAACAAATGTAAGTAAATATTTATATATAAAGTTATAATGTATTACATTTTTTTTTCATATTCTCAGATGGAAGCAGAATTAGAACGTTTAAGTAAAAGTAATGATGAAGAAAGATTGCAAAAAGAAGAACTTAAACAAAAATTAGGTGTATCTGGTGTGGCACTTCAACAAGAAAAACAAATAGTAATAGTCATATAAACTGATTCTTATAAAAAATATCTATTAATTATTTATTTTATCTTTTAGAAACGTGATTCTGAACTCGTATTAAAACGAATTAAAACTGATCTACACAATTGTTCAGCATTACTTCAAGAACCAAAATTATTGAGACAAAAAGTTTTGGAAATCCATCAACAATATGTTCATGATGATGCGGTAAGTTTTCATTTAAATTATTTTATTTAAAATGTAAAAAATGATTCTGTTTTTTGATGCTATCATGTAGACTGAAGAAGCAAACGTTGATCAAGATATACAAAAAGAGTATTCACGTCAACGTGATCATCTAGAAAGAACTGTAAAAAGTCTTAAACAAAAATTAGATAAAGATTCTGATCGACATAAAAATGATAATATTAGAATAATGCAGGTATGTATATGCGTTTAACGTTTGAAAATAATACTTATTATTTCATATTTTCAAAGGAAAATGTGACATTAATTAAAGAAATCAATGATCTTCGACGTGAATTGAAATCAGCTCGAGTCAAACTACAAGATTTGCAAACATCAATGGGTATTAGTCGTAAAATGGCAGCAACAACTACTGATCAAATTGTTCAGGCACTCCATACTCATAAAAATAATCATATTGTCAATGAGAAACATAATCAATTGGAAAATTTGATAGCAAGACAACGTAGCGAAATCCATAGATTAAATGAACATCTTCTTCATATTGAAGGTGGTAGTAGACCACCATCGGGTCAGTTACCTCCAATTAATTCAGCATTAGCAGCGCATTAATAGATGTTTCACTTATTCGATTAAATGTATTTTTGTGTTTGATAAAAGTATAACAGTGATTTGTATATATAATCTCTATTTTTTATTTCAACAATTCGATATTTTTCATTTTTCATTTAGACAAAACAGCTACTTCAGAACTAAATTTAAAGCGTGTATAAAATACCTTATCAGCAAGGCATATTCTAGAGATCTAGTTTTAAAATACTTTATTTACTCAACAATTGACATTACCAGATTTAGTCACTATTAGAAGGGGGCAACTATCTTTTTTCTTAGTAAATGTTATTTTTATTATGTTAAAAATACTAATTAATCTTTCAGATTGTTTTGTAATGTCTGATAATCAATATTAATATATTTTTCACGCTACTATTTCGTTTCGTACTGAACATTTGAAAGATATAGATTGTCCAATTTTTCTATGGACTAGTTACGACGTATGAATAAAATACTTAGAATTCTGGCAAACGAAATTTATACTTGAAATTTAAGAACAGTATTTCTGTAATACTAACTGAATCATTTGAGAAAAAAGTTAAAACACATATTTAGATAATAATTAGTTGAATTTTAAAACTTTATATTTTTGAACTGGATTTTCCTCAGTCCATTTTCAAAGGCTTTTATCTTTTGATCAGAGCTGGGTAAGTGACGGGTTTTCCGGTCAAAAGTCAAGTCAAGTCATGAGTAATAAAAAATGTTCACCAGTCAAGTCAAGGCAAATCTCGAGTCAAGTCAACTCACGACTTGAAATTTTTTTTCCCGTAGAAAACGACATAAAAGAGTCTCCATTCCTTGGTATTAGAACACAGACTTGCTATGCAAGTGCAAAATGCGCGTCTTGTTACTGTGTGTAAATTCTTACATATTATAACATCAACATTCCTAAATCATTCTGAATTATTATATAAAATTAGATTGTATAAGCGGTTTAAAAATATGCATGGCTTGACTTGATTTTTTATGCCAAGTCACAAGCCAAGTCATATCTTTTAAAAGAATTTTCAAGTCAGATCAAGTCAAGTGAGTCATGAATCATCAAAAGATTTCCAGGTAAAGTTAAGTCAAGTCAAAAATGACTTGACTTGCCCAGCTCTGCTTTTGATACTTTCCTTACCACTATCTAAAATAGAGTATTCATAAAAGTAAAATTCACCTGTCTGTTATTTTGATGTATCTAAATTCGTCTGGCACATCAAAAGTCCATCCATAGATAACTATCGCGATTGTGCACCATGAAATCGTAATTTTCTCTCTAATTGCCATGAGCTGTGACGGATCGATTAGCCGATTAGACAAAAAAAAAACTCTGATGGATAAGAATATATATCCCAAACCATCAAACCTATTAAGCAAAGTTGTGCTGCTTGATCCTGTTATTCCAACAATTGCTATTCTAGTTAAATGTCCATTAGTCCATTTGTGATCATGATAATTATCAGCATCAGATATGTATAATGTCGGAGTGTTTTGTTCTTAATAAACATTGTACAAAGCAATATAAAAGATTTGACGTTTAGTTACTTGCCCCGTTTAATAAACCAGCGACATTTTGTAAGGATTGTTGAATACAACTATTTTCTGTGTCAGTTACATACTGATGAAAGGGAGTTGTTTGTGTTCGTTTCGGTGAATGGGAGTTAATAAAGTACCACCGTTCAGAAAACCTTTATCCATAAGAAGTTGAGTATGGGATAAAAGAACTGGAACTCCGGTGTTTCGCAACATCATATTGTCATGTGTTGATCCAAGGTACCTGTATTTGAAGAAAATAATTTTTCGATCAGTTGATATAACCATGCTCATTCCCAAACAATGAATCTTACTTTTGCCATTCTAGTAACGTCTTTGATTACGTGCTAAGTGTGAAGAAACAAAAAAAAAATCTGCTTGATGAACACACCGCACTTAGTCTTTCAATAAAAAGTTCAAATCTCGTTTTAATGCCAACATCCGGATGCGGAGTGCTTTATTAGAGTACTAACGGCACTTGCAAAAAGAGAGAAAACGTCAAAAAAACTTTTATGCTGAAAACATCTTTAACATACGTGTTAGTTTCTGTAATATGAAGAACTTCGACTCTCCAGCACTTTATCGTCAGTTACTTTTGTGTCCATTAGCCTCTAACGATACATCTCCCCTGGTGACTGACATATCTGCGTCAGTAGAAAGGCGACTGGTCTCATCAGCAGATTGTAGCTCCTTTCATCTTCTCACAGGAAATAGATAGAGAGAAGAAGGAATGTTTTGATTGGCGGTTTTTGGACGGTTAAATTTATTCTTTGTACAATGCTGTCTTTGTTTCATTTTTAATATACCAGATTAGTATAATTAGTGATCACAGGGATTCTCTGTGTTACGCCTATTTTTTCTATGACTAGAAGTAGACATGCACTGTTTGGAAAAGAAATATAAGCAGTTTTTTCTGAATAAAAGTATTACAGTATTTTAAGTTTTTGCAGATTTGAGCTATTTCAAAGTTCTTGTGTATGATACACTTTTCTGTCATTAACATCGAAGAAGAATATTGTATTTTCTTTTTTATAGATGTCTGAATGTGTTTTGTTTCGATGTCAGCAAGAAAAGAAGTTAATAAAAAGAGAATTTCAAAAGTGGAATAAAAATTTGTTATTACAATTAGGTATATATCGATAATGACTTCTCTTACGTAGTATGAATATCTCACATTATTTTACTTGATTTTGTAGGTCTGGAAACAATTTGCAAAAATTATTTTTCATTTGATATCACAAGATTAGAAGATAAGATAATTAATGGTATTTATATACGATAATAAAATAAGAAATCTGATTGTAGGATGTGCTTTCTTTTTCTTAAGAACCTATTGATTTCAATTCAGATAGTGGATGTTTGTTTTGTGTTAGTCGGCAAGAACATTCGATTAAAATAGCGCCGTCGAAGAATGTGTGCAAGACAAATGTTAAAGTATGTAAAAGCAAATAACTATAAAATAGAATCGAGCTAATGATCTTTCTCTTCCTCTCTTTAGCAGGAAACATTCGCTGAACATCGTCGATTAGTGGATCACGATCCATCAACAGGTATTATCAAGTTTAACCTTTTGTTTTACAATTTATTGTTTTATTTTTTGTTCATAACAGAAGATCCTGTCTGTCCCAGTCTTGGTGACGAACCATTAGATCTCAGCTTGAAACATACATTATCAAGTGACTACATGTTATCGAAAAATCTTACAAGTGATAAGTATGTTTAAAAAGTAGTAGTATTTGATTGTCTCCATCTATTTCTCTAATTTGATTTAGACGCGCATTCCTAGATTTCAAGTCAGATATAAAAAAACTATATACACAAGAAGAATTAGATCGTGTATTAAACTATATTGCGTCAGAAAAAATTGGTAAGTACATCACATCTTTCATTCTTATCGTGATCTTATTATGTATTGGAAATATTTCTTTCGCTTTCATTATCATTATCATTTCCGTTTTCATAGATTTTTCGCGTCCATCACAATTTCAAAACTCATTGTCCAATAGGAAAACAATCGAAACATTGTTCAGCAGCCCTTATTCTTCATCCGATGATCCATTATTATCATTTTTATCCGCAAAACCATCAACAGACGCACTTTTAACCCCTTCGCCATTGTATGACGTTGAGCCAAGCAAGAATGATGGAACAAATACGTTTTTCCCTTCACAAATGAAGAAAAACGATGACAATTTGCATCCTAGTGTTATAAAATTAGTAAAAAAAATGGCAGTTGAACGTTTAGTTCAGGAAATCGATTTTCTTCGATCAAATAGTCAGTCAACGAATATCTCGTCTTCATCATCATTATCATATTTAAATGACATACATCCGTACATCACGTTATCCTCCTCATCTCTTTCACTCTCTCCAATAACTGTTAGAGCATCCGAATCTTGTTCAGCTTTGACAACAACAACAAAAAACAATTCTTCAAACCGTCATTTGTACTCTAACATACAACAAACTGAAAAAATTTCGTCTCTTTTAAACGATGTCATGGTTCATGTGTTGCAACAAATGTTTGAACAAAATAAACAGAATGTGGATATTGAAAATTTAAAAAGTAAATCAAAATTTAAAAATAGTGAACCATTATTTGTCAAAAAGAAAAATGGTGCCAAGACAACTACAACAGTGTCTTCATCAATGCCACAAATTGCAAAGAAATCACTTGATGATGGAAAATCATCAAATGGAAAATATGTTCATTCACAGCCAATATTAAACAATTTATTAAGTTCAAAATTGAATAGAATACCTTTGCCTGTAAATAATTTTATACGAAAAACGATAATTCAATCAAAATCAAAACGTTTAATAGATGATCAACAACAACCACAATCAACAAAACGTATGAAATTACAAGATGACAACAGAACAATGTCTGATCGTCAATCACCCTCATCTTCCTCCTCATCCAGTTGCTCTTCTTTATCACTATCATGCAAATCCACAAAATCACGATCATCAAATTCAATAAGTTCACTTAGTTCAAGATCAAAAATAATTATTGGTAATGATGGAAGACAAATTAGACCAAAGCGTGGTCAATATCGCCGTTATGAATCAGAACAATTGGCAAAAGCCGTTGCTGCTGTTTTAAGCAATGAAATGAGTGTTCATAAGGCTGGAAGTTATTTTGGTGTTCCTCACAGTACAGTAAGACTTTTCTGCTTCTAAAACTACATTTTACTTAATATTTCTATATTATTATAGTTAGAATACAAAGTCAAAGAGCGTAATTCAAAGACAAGAAATAAAACAACTGACATCAGTTCGAGTACTGACTGCTCGCAATCGTGTACTGGCCTCAGTGCTAATAATCAATTAAATGATGGAGAACAAAAGAGTTCTTCATCGAATTTTGTTTCATCTTCATTTGGAAATCGTGGTATTATATCGTCACAACTGTCAAAATTATTCTCGAATTCAAGTACAACATCAAAGCAAAAATTTTCGTCAAATAATCGATTAGGTATTATTGTCTTATTTTTATTAATAAAACAAGTCAATTCTTGATATTAAAAATGAGTTTTGTTTTGTTGTTTTGTAGACAATGCATCAAATGATACATTTCAAGATCAAGGGTCTCCTTCATCGTTTAAGTCAAACGCAATTACGTCGGAGATATCGTTATCCGATCATGTATTTCCGTCCACTAAATTGAAACAGTTTAGTCCTCCTAATACTAATGAAGCATTAGAACAAACACCAATAAATGATAAAAATAATAATGAAACAAAGATTGCTGCTGCTAATGATGATCTTCAATCTTAAAATCAGTGATTTCACAAGTATTTGGACAATGATTGGTCTTATCTGTGCAATGACTATCATATTTTCTTCTATTTTTTTAAAATTTCCAGCTCTTCAGTATCTCTGAATTATTTTTTCGTTTTTCTTTTAAAATGCCAGAATGCTTTTGTTTATTTCTACGATTTCTATCGAACACTCCAGATCTGTCTATTCCTTTTTTTTGCTTTTGCAAATTATTCTCTATCTGTTCAATGTTGTTATGGTTATTGAATCTCTTCTTTTTTTTTCTCGTTTGGTTTAGTTATGGATGCCATAAATAATCCGTCTTTAGATGTGCACTATCCGGTCCACATTCTAGGAAAATCTTTTAGTTCTTTTTTTTAATTTGCAATAAAACCTTTTATTTTAAGTTTTTATGTTTTTCTCTGGTCAAATTGTTTTCTTCTTTTATTTTTAAATTTTTTAAACAAATGAATGCATTTTTTTTATTGTGAGTAATGTAAAAAAAACAAAAGAAATGTCAATCCATAGGCAGAACGATCAATTTATGTAGTATTTTACATTTATGTGTATAATGTGTTTTCTAGTCAAAGCTGTGTTTAAACAATAGTATTTAGATTTTCTCAGATAAGACTTGTGTATCACTCCAGTAGAATAGATATATTATTTTTATCATTCCATTCTTTACATTCATTCATTTTTGAATTCTTCGAATCTTCCAACGGTTGCGAAACAACTTGGAAGACGTTAGTCAAAAACTTAATTCTTACTAGTCGAGTCTAGCAATATTCAACACCATAGAGCTTTAAGATCACTTTTGCTGTAGTCTTTTGTCGCTGTTGTAATGTTCGTTTTTTTCTCTATGGTCTTAATTTTCTACATTTTTATTTGATTGACAGCTCAAGAAACTCAATTTATACGCTGGATTCTTTTGTATTCAAAGCTTAGCTTTTCATGTGGTACTTTTGAAAACATTGCATAGTCTTCTGTTATCCTAACTTATTGGTAAACAGAGATGCTATGTATGTCATTGTAGCTAACTGTTAGATCGGCTGACATCTCTAATCCTAATGATATAAACGAGAATGACTTAGTTTTAAATAAATGTTAGAACAAAGTATCTTCGAATGAGTTAATAGTTTCAATTTTTTTAATCATTCCATTGTTTGTCGTTTCTGCTCTTGTTGATGTTGTGGAAAAATGTTCATTTTGTTGATGTTATTACCGAATTATTGTTTCTTCTAGTTGTTGTGAATGAAAACAAATTTTTTTTGTTTTTGTTAATGTGTTTCTGTTTTTCCGGTCGGTATCTAGTATGATTATTAATACTTTTCTTGTCTGTGTTATTCTTTCTTTTTGTTTTTATTCTTAAATTCATAATAAATTTATTTATAAATATGAAATTTCTTTTAAAATATCTTGAATCATATTTAATCTTCATATTCTAGCAACCGTTTAGAATTCATCGAAAACTTGCTACCTTTTTTTAGATTATACGCAACTTGTTTTGAAAACAAATGGGATGCATGTGCAGCAATCAAACAATTATCGTACAAGGAGAGAAATTTTATTTAACGAAACAAATTGGAGAAGGGTAGAAACTTTTATTACTTTTTATGATTTATCTTTTGTAGAATATTTAGCCAAGATTTAGAAGTTCTAAAGTTTTTTTTGCATTACATTTTTATCAGATATTTTGTAGAAGAGAGAATCCATACGAGAATTCATTTCTGAAAATAGAACAATTTTATTATTCGTATGCTTGTTCATTATACAAGATATAGAAATATATACGTGGCTTTGGGCTTTGATCTACATGTACATTTAAAATATATACATGAAATATTCTGTCATAAATAAAATATGATCATCTGAACATCATTGTTCAGAGCAATTTATTTTAGATATTATTTTGTAAGATACATTCTAATTTGGTACGATCGAAATTTTCACGGCCCATGCTATGAAGATGTTCGTGTTTAGTATGACGAATCGTGCTGTTTATTTTATTCGATACCATTAAGCGTACTTATCCGTACAAAAGCAACTTTATCATATGTAATGTATAACAACGGTAAGATTAAGAGAGTATACTTTAAAGATATCTCCAGAGAGAAAGATTTTTAAATAGTAAAGAAATTTAATATTTGAGTCAATTTGTGTAGATTCAAGAATATTAGAGATTTTGAATTGCACGAATACAATGGAATTTTTGCAAATGCATTGCTCGAAATGGAAAGTTGAGGTATAGAACAAGGATTGCTTGTCTTTAGTTCATCAAGAGAAAAAATTCCTGGGCAAAGGTAGAGGAAGAACTAAAAGCGCTAGATTACGTATGAACGTATTTTAAATACGACTTCTTAAGCGCTAACAAGTTTTATCGAGAAATAAGATCTATGTTCAAGTGTCCAACGAACGTTATTAGTTCTACTGTGATCGAGATAAATAATCTTCTACATTAGTTTTGGTACGTAGACTTCCTGTTTCGTTGCGTCGAGAGTTTTATCGAATCTTTCGATGACACAGCCATATAACTGTTTTAAATCGTAATTTCTTATCCATTCGAAGTCGTTTTGTACTAAAAATCTTTTTTATAGATACTGATCGTACTTTGTTTTGGTTTTGGTTTTCCTTGTCCGATCGATTTACTTACTTTTTTTCTGTTTATCAACAAACATTAATAACACATTTTTGTACGGTTTTCTGTAAGAAAATGACCTTAAAGAAGAATAATTCGTCGTGTTCTCGACATGCTTTTTTATTTTTATTCAGGTATGATAGGTATCTTCTATATTTTTCTTTTCAGTCTATTTTAGATTATTAGTAAATAACTGTCCATATTCAAAAAGAAGTCCGTTTTTATTTTAAATTATATTGTTCAACACATACTATGGCTGAAAATCGATATCTTGCTGATTATGCCAAATTAGGAACAAGTTCATGTAAAAAATGTAAACAAAAAATTGAAAAGGGTGGATTACGTCTCGCCAAAGTTGTAAAAAATCCGTTTACAGATGAAGGTGGTGAAATGAAACAATATTTTCATACTAATTGTATGTTTGACACATTGATGAATGCTCGAGCAACAACACAAGTTATTGAAAGTACAACAGATATTGACGGATGGTCAGGATTACAACCAGCAGATAAAGAACAGATTCTAGAACAAATAAAACGCTTAGAAGAAGTAAGAGGAAAAAAAAAAGATAAATCATTAACACAACCACCATCAAAGAAAATCATTCAAAAAATATTACCAGTGCCATCAGTTTCTCCCACAAAAAAGAAACAAACATTAATGCCAGTAGTCACCAGTACAACAACGAACGAGGATGATGATGGTGATAGCGAAGATACAATAGATGATGATGATGAAAATATAAATGTTTCAGAAGACGAAAATGATGGGAGTATCACTAGTGACGATCCGACGCATCCTGATAATTCATTTCGTTCATATCGTAACTTATGTATGAAAATAGCCGAAGTTGATGGTCATAAAGCAAAAACAGAAGTAATCCGACAATTTATTACTTATGGTACGGATGATGACAGTTATAAAGGTAAATCAACAATTTTTTCACAATTAGTTAGGAATTGCAATATCAATTCCTGTAATTTGTACTATAGATTGGATATGTAACATATAATTTTGCTTTTGTCAATCTATTTCAGGTAATTTGTCAATATTATATCATCTACTGTTACCAGCAAAAGGCTATAAATCGTCAATATTTAATTTAAAATCACGTCAATTATGTAAATTATTTTCAACAATATTTCAAGTTGAGCAAAGTGAAATGTTAACTCATTGTGAAGAAGGTGGAGATATTGCTGATACTGTGGCAGAATTTTATGAACAAAGTCCGGCTATGGATCCCCCATCAAAATCGACGTTATCGATTTATGACATTGATAATTATTTGTTAAAATTATCAAAACTGACCAAAGAAAATGATCAGGAACGTCTATTACATGAAATAACAATAAAATGCACATCAAATGATTTAAAAATGTTTATTCGTCTCACACAAAAAGATTTGAAAATCAATGCTGGTCCAAAACAAATTCTCGATGCATTAGATATCAACGCTTATGATGCTTATCAACATTCGAATAATTTGAAAACATTTGTAGATCGATATTTACAACATAAATCATCGGGATCACCTACAAAACTAAGTTTAGCTAAAGCATTTAGCGTTCAAATTGAATTAATGACACCTGTTCATCCTATGTTAGCTGAAGCATGTAAATCTGTTGATTATGCATTTAAAAAATGTAAAAATACAATATTAGCCGAAATTAAATATGATGGTGAACGTTTACAATTACATAAAAATAAAAATAAGTTTGAATTTTTCAGTCGAAATTTGAAATCGGTTCAACAACATAAAGTACAAGATTTAAATAAATATATTACTGAAGCATTTCCAAAAGCCGATGATCTTATACTAGATGGTGAAATATTATTAATCGATATCAAGTATGGAACATTTATTTTATGTTATTGTTTGGAGTTAAATAATTGTCTCTTTTTCTAGAACGAAAAAACCACTACCATTTGGAACATTAGGTGTACACAAAAAAGCAAAATACAGCGAGGCGAATGTATGTATGTCTTTTGATCTTTTAAATTGTTACTGATTATTTTGTATTTTTTTTTGTAGATTGCTTTTTTTGTATTTGATTGTTTATATTTCAATGGTGAATCATTATTGGATTTACCGTTGAAAGAACGACGTACTATCTTGACAAAACATATGTCACCGATTGAAAATCGTATACTTATATCCGAACAAAAATTAGTCACAAAAAAATCAGAATTGCAAACATTAATCAATTATGCTATTAGCGAAGGATTAGAAGGTTTGGTATTAAAAGATCCAGAGTCATTATATGAGCCGGGTAAACGTCATTGGTTAAAAGTGAAAAAAGATTATTTACTAGAAGGTATGCATTGTTTTATTAGTTTTATTTATTTTTATATGTAGCATTATTTTATATTTTTTTTTATCTAGGTGCAATGGCTGATACATGTGATCTTGTTGTATTGGGTGCTTATTATGGAACGGGTAAAAAAGGTGGTTTAATGTCTGTATTTCTATTGGGATGTTATGATCAAACAAAACAGCAATGGTGTACAGTTTGTAAATGTGGTAATGGATTTGATGATGCAAAAATTGATCAATTACAAAAAGAATTAAAACCAAATCTAATTAAAATTAGTAAAGATATGAAAAAAGTGCCAAACTGGTAAGTCATTGTTAAACAAAGGTACAAAATTGACTAGTACTCATAACTCTTTCATTCAATATATTTAGGTTGAATTTAAATCGTCAATATGCACCAGATTTTGTTGTTGTTGATCCAAAAAAATCACCAGTGTGGGAAATAACTGTAAGTAACTAATTTACACAATCTTATAAGAGAAACGTTTATACTCTCTCATTGTTCTTACTTGTAGGGAGCCGAATTTTCACAATCAAAAGCACATACAGCAAATGGAATTAGTATTCGTTTTCCACGAGTGACAAAAGTATACATATTTTCATCTTCGATTGTGTTTGGATCAATGTTAAAAATGTTTTTATCTATTTGTGTAGGTTCGTGATGATAAAACATGGAAAGAGGCTACTAATCTTGCTTATTTAATTAAATTATTTGAAAAATCGAAACCAACCGTTATATTCAAAGATGAGGATATGAATGATGAAATAGATGAGGATGAATTAGGATTTTCGTTTAGTAATAATACTAATAATAATAATGGCATCGATGAAAAATCGTTAAAACGATCAGTGGATGATGTGGAAACTAGTGAAGTTTCAAAAAAAAAAGCAGTAGCAACAAATAATGGTAATTCTTCAATGGTAACATGTAGTTTTCCAACACTATTTGACGCCTACGTCTTTTATTTATCATCAACAATATCTGCTGATGAAAAGGCAAATTTAACTCGATTTATAAATGCGTTTGATGGTGATATTATAAATGATGAAAATGAATATGAAATGATTACACATTATGTTGGTAAAAAGGATAAAAACTATAACAAAATTGAACAAAGAACAAAATTTCAACATATTCAAACGGATTATTTATGGGATTGCATCAAAAATAAAAAAAAATTATAAATAAATACAATGGTTAAGCTACTTTGTTTCTAAAAGTGGTGGTATATTTTAGTTAGAACGCTGAAAGTTTTCTACAAAGTCATTTTTTCGATCAGCTTTATTGGCAACAAAGAAAAATTTCTCATTTTTTATTTCTTCTTTTGATTCAGGGACTATTTGTGTGTGATGAGATGCCTTTGAAAACGAAATCACAAAGTATATGTACATCTAGATTTATGTGGAAATATTGCCAAATTTTTTGCAAATTTTTTTCGTTTCCTAACTAGATGTTAAATTTATTTGTGATAACTGAAGTTTTTCCTTTATAGAGGAGTGTTCAATTGTAAAATAAATTTGTATTTTGTAGTATTTTTTTTTCTTCTTCAGTATCTCAATTATCTCATTATTTGGTAAATATCTCATGTTAGCTAGTCCATCTCAATATATGTAAATTGTGTATGACACAAATCTCTCATTGTCAGATAGTCATTGTTGGTTCTACTTTTTGTTGTTCTTGTCAAATATTTTATAGAAAATGAAATGTTAAACATAATTTAGTGTTACGCTTCTTATGCGTATTGTGTTTTTTTATTGTTGTAAAGAAACCAAGTTTTTGGAATACTTTTGTATTATTAAAAGAGAGTCTACTCAACGTATGGTATGGTCTATTAAGTATAAAAGTCAAATTTTTATACTGAACTTGGATGACGTTGTTTTTGTTCGGTTGAAAGTTGTGACGAACAAATTCATATTTGTCAGTTGTTTTTAATTGATAATTGGCGTCATTATCATTGATCTCGATAATAAATGTGTGCAAGCCAAAGTGATGCCGATGATCATAACAGAAAGAACTTGTCATTTCGCGTGTTTTGCTTCTAACTTTCAGTTAAAAGCACATTTCATAGTGAAAAAACAAATTGACTATGTCTAAATTCTATCGTTGTTATAACAAGTATCGATAAATGAATTTCATGCACTCTGATACTCTTCTATAATTATAAATTCTCTCTTCTACAAAATAAATGTTCATTTTATTATAGAATTATTTTTTTGTTTTGAAGAAAAATAGGATTTTCCAGTGAGCTATTCTTTTTTTTTCTTTTATTATTTATAAATTCATTGAATAATCTCTATTATTTTCTAGGAGTTTTAGTTATGTTTTCATTGGACGCAATACAGCTGATTCTCGGGAATATGCTATTAAAAAAATTGCATGTCACAATCTAGAAGATGAAAATAGATTTAAAAAAGAAGTAGAAAATTATCAACGATTTAAACATCCATCACTAAGTTAGTGCCTATCATTTTAGTATAGCCCCCCCTAAAAATTTTGAACGCTTGGACAGTTTAGAAGCCCCGGAGGCTTCTATTATGGGGGGGGGGGTTATACTAAAATGATAGGCACTAACTTATTGATG